TATGGCTCACACACTGCCACAGCTACAGGTGGTTGGATTGGATGTGAGCCATATTTTTTAATCTGTAAAATGAGTTTCTAGAGGCCTTTGAAAACCAATTGAGTGTGTAAAAATCTCTGGGGCCACTCTAAATAGATTTCTTGCCGAAGTCAAACCAACTTTATAAAATGTGAAGTATATGGGCACTTCGGGAAGAATTGACCACTGAGTATAATATGCAATCACTATGTCTCCTTCTTTACATTTATTAATTTGCTGAAGGGGGATCAATCCATAGTAAGAATACATCAACTTGATTGTACGGAGAAGTTCTAGCTTCTGTGCTGCACCTTTATTGGTTGTGTAAAGGTAAAGGTTTCCTCTGTCTGTGTCCGACTCTGAGGGGTGGTACTCATCTCCATTTCTTAGATGAAGAGGCGGCGTTGTCCATAGACACTTCCCAAGTCATGTGACCAGCATGACTACATGGGGCACCGTTACCTTCCCACCGAAGCCGTACATATTGATCTACTCACATTGGCATGTTTTTGAACTGCTAGGTTGGCAGAAGCTGGGGCTAACTGTGGAAGCTCACCCCACTCCCTGGATTCAAACCACCAATGTTCAGTCAGCAAGTTCAGCAGTTCAGCAGTTTAACTCGCTGGGCTGCCAAGGGGCCCCTATTGGTTATGTAGAAGAGGGAATTTCAGCTGGTGTTGATTGTCACATAACTAGGTAGTGCTGATGTTTTCTTTTCTACACTACCATTAAATGGACAGAATACCACCTGTTTTCTGTCTCACAGCTTTACTTTTGGTATTTATCTTGGTGTGAATGGGAGCTTTTTACATAAGAGTTCCGGGAACACACACGTAGGGTGGCATATGGGCCTTTCAGTTTTCATGTTTTTTCGTGCTGGGAAGACCATAAGATTTAGCAAATGAGAAACGGGCTCAAAGGGGGCCACTCTTCCTCATCAATACTCAGAGTTAAGTTTATTTCAGCAACATTTACAAGTATGTATAGTAGGGTTTGCTGATCTGACAAACCCCAGATGTTTTGGATTGCAATTTGAATCAGCCCCAGACAGGATGACCTGTGACCACGGATAGTAGAAGTTGTGGTTGAAAACACTTGAAGATACCAGTTGATATAGAATTGCAACGTTACAGAGACCTGTTTGGCTGGATACCTCCAGAGGGAATCCCTGCACGATTTCATAGTTTTCCCTACTACACAAGCAAGTGTTCGAAATATGACAACTTTCCATAAACTGAGTGCTCAGTTTTGAATCAGTGAAACAGAGAAGCCACCAAGTACTCTTGCAAATAGCTAAATAACATTTTAGTTAAATTGGTAAGCTTTATCAGATTTGCCACTTGCTTTACGCCAGTGTAAACAAGCTCCTAAATTGCGCCAGGAGTTAATGACGAGGAATTTGGCAGAGCATTTTAGTCTTTTCCATTTAGAAAGGTTTGCCATACCTTTGTGTTCTCTTTTCCCTCTTTTTTCCCCAAGAAGGAGAGTGGCCATGAGATTATATTGTGTGTGGATTCCTCAGATATCCATTTCTTAATATATATTAAATTCTGATCAGAAAGTGGTGCATGCTAATAGACTTATTAAAAAATTGCGCTTGAGAGTTCTCTTTCAGAGATCAGAAAGAGGGTTCACAAAAGTGGTTCAAGTGGTTCTTTCTCCTCATATCTGGTCCCAAATTGTCTAATATAAATAAGTTTATACATATAGTTTATGTCATTCACATTAAACTCAAATGTGTTTTGTTTGGATTTCCTTTAATTCAAGGTTGGGTAGAAAGATAGACTGAGATCTGTTGGAAGATGCTTGAGTGATCTTAGTTCTTAATATTAGCAGCAACAAAATGCCTCTCTTCATTCTGTAGCTAGATTATTGAAATTATGAAAGCTTGGAATAATCAGGAGTGGATTTTTATTTAGAAAGACTGTAAACCTCATTCAGTTCTGGTACTCAAAAACAAATTCCTGGGACCAAAATTCTGTACTTTTTAGTTATCTCCAAGCGGTGGAACTCTAGCAAAATGGAAAACCTAGAATTCCAGACAAGAATAAATTAGGGCCAGCTAACAGCTCCCAACAAAGAATTCCCCAGGCATCAACCATCCAGGCTTTGAAGCTGCAAAGCCATTCAGTGCTAATCAAGGTGGCCAGT